TTGCATGCCTTGTTTGCTAGGCTTTTGAGCCATCAGTTTAGGTCTTTGTTTTAGCCTTTGTTTGGCCTCTTCACCACTAAATTCCAGACAAATTTTAGTGGTGGAAATTGTGTTTTGAGGTCCCAAATAGGAGGAGGTCATCCCCTCTCCTTGTGTCTTGTGTGCTTGCCTTGTTGGCTCATCTAAGTAGCATGTTTATCTAGCATATTTTGGCTCCATCTCAATCTATTTTTGGCCTTATTTCAGTATTGCATACCTCTATTTTGGCTTGGTAGAGTCACCCTTTGCATGCTATTTACACTTGTAGTGTAATCCTTACAAACTAGCCTTGTATGCCCCATGTTTTAACATGTCTTACTAGCCCATTTTGGCTCTATCTTAGCATATTTTTGGTGTTGTTTTAGTATGCCTTAGCTCTGTTTTGGCTTGGTTTGGTTACCTCATGCATGCATTCTACACTTATAGTGCATTTCCATTCACTAGCCTAACATGCATCATGATTTGGACCATCATTCTAGCATGTTTTGGCTCCACTCCAACAAGCTTTTACTCATGTTTTTCCATTCTTAAGGTCTGATTTATGTTGTTTTTGTCATGCATGCCTTGCTTTGTATAGCCATAGTGCATTCTAGCTCACTAGCTTTGAGTTTCCAAGCCACTAGCATGCATTGCTTGGGCTATTTGCATAATTTGGCATCATTTGATATGTGATTTCAGTGCATGTAGTGGTCATGCCCTCACATCTTTCACTCATTCAATGCTTTGGAGGGTTGGTTCTTTATGCTTTAAAAATGAGTCATTGCGTATGCAATCTTGCCTAAGCTTTTGGGCTGCCATATCAGTGTGTTTTTGGTTTTGTTTTACCATGATACAACTCTGACTTTTGTTGGTAAAGTCATCTCATGCTTAGTTTTGGTAGGTGTAGTGTAATCCTCCTTATTGGCCTTGCATACTCCATGCTTAATTCCTTTCATGCTAGCATGAGTTAGCTCTAGTTCGTGCATGTTTTAGCATTATTTTATCATGCTCTAAGACTATTTTGGGTTGTCTTGGCCACATGGTTCATGTATTGCATAGCTATAGTGCAATTGGCCTTGCTTGCCTTGAGTTTTGAGCCTCCTAGCATGCTTCATTTGTGACATGTGCATGATTTGGCATCATCTACCATATTATTTCAGAGCATATAGTATTGCCATATTCTCACTTCTTTCACTCTTTGACTGCTTTTAAAAGTTGTGCATTATTGCCTTGTTTGTGGACCAATGCATATGCATGCATGCCTAGACTTTTGAGCTCCTATCCCAGCATGTTTTGGTCTTTGTTTGGACCTAATTGAGCTCTGCCCATAGCTGGTTCAGTCATTCGTGCCATGTATTGCATGCCTCTTGTGTAGTCCCTCTTGGTGGCCTTGTGTCTTAGGCCCTCTTGCATGCTATACTTATGTTGTTTGAATGATTTGGAATCATTTCATACATGATTTCAAAGCATATAGTGTTGTCACACTTCCATGTTTATCACTTCTTAATCATGTTTGAGAGTTGTGCCCTTATGCTTAGTTGATAGGCCATTGCATGAACATTACCATCTTGCCTTTCATGCCATTATTTCATAGCATTTTGGCCACTGTTTTGGGCATGATTGAGGTTTGTCCATATTCGGTTTAAGTCCATTGAGTATGTTGTTTGAATGTTGTTATTTGCATTGTGTTTGCATGCTTGTTGCATTACATTATATTTGCATGCTTGTTGTTTGCATTGTGTTTGGCATGCTTGAGTTGCATCGCATGTGTTTGGATTGGACGTCAATCCAAAACACGAGAAACGAGAGACGTTTCATACTTGAAGTGATGAAACGTGCCTCATTTCTTGGTCGCAAACCCTCTTGATCATGCATGATAGAGGTTAAGGCCCTTATGTGTTATTTGTGCATTCATTAACATTGAGTTGTGCAATCTTGGCTTCTTGGCCATCGTGCATTGCGATGCTCGGTTGGTGGCCCGAGAGTCGAGAACCGCACTCCCTTGAGCTTAAGAAATGATAAGGAGGGTGGTTATGCACACATACCTTGCAAATACACTGATGTGCCCCTTCTTGTTCTCTGTTGCAACAAAATGGAGTTTGGCAGCATTTTCTGGTCGGCAGACCAGTAAAAGTGGCTAGCTGACCACTTTTTCTGGTTTGCAACAAGTTTAGGTGGTCTACAACACCATTAAGTGGTCGGCAACCTTCCTGGAGGTCTCCAAGTTGAGGTAGAAGCTATCTGGAGGTTTGTGCAGTGTTCTGAGATCAAATGCAAACAGAGGCAAGTTGGGGCATCGTAATGGATTTCCGAATGAGGCGACCGAGCATGCATGTACTTCTCACCCTGAGGACCTCTTCTTACTGCTTTACTTAGCTGCTTTGCTTAGTTAGCTATTTGGTTCTATAATTAAGTAGTTAATGCACTTAGCTATTCATTTGTGTTTGTAATTAGTTAACTTGTTAGTTAATTAGCTTCGTTTTATAATAATTAGTTTAATTAACTTAGATTAGCTAGTTAGCTTATTATTTGGACCCTCCGTCGAGAGGGAAAATTTTGTAATAAGTGTGCGTTCGTGTGATGCATGTCTTCCAACCCCCATTTCTTTCTCCCTTTTACTTATCCGCTTTCGGTGGTTAGTTTAGGGCATATTTCAATTAGCATACTTATGTTCGCATGCATGCATCATTCATTTTGTCTTACATGCATTGGGCTCGGCGCATCATACAAAGTGCATTGTATTTTAATACACTTTCTTGAATACGTGTTTCAAAGCATGTTATCGAGTGTTGCATTCATATGCCATTCTAGACAGCCGACCCTATTTTAGTTACATTTTGCATGTGTTGCATTAGGCATCTTAAACTTAGCTAGGATCATGCATTGATTACTAACTAGTTTCTTTTTTGGCTCAAAGTACTAGGCAAACTTTTACGCTTTAGCATATTGCATGAGATGTGTATGTTGTCATGTATAGCATGCTTGCCATGAGGCTATTTGCTTAATTGATTAACTGCATGAGTACCTGTAGATGAAGGCTTGATTGCCTGAATTAGAACGATTCATCAAAATGTGAGTTTTAAGCCTACTTGAGATTGGCAAATCATGTTTTCTAAGCCTACTTGAGGGTGGCAAATCCGCGACTTAGCCTACTTGCGAGTAGCACCATCAAACCATTTTCAAACAAACAAACAAACATGAGATGTTTTGTTCCAACTTGAGCGATTTAGTCTATACTTATATGCTGTGCGCATCACATAGTAATTCTAGATTAATAATTGAAATAAGAACGCATGTGTTTTCAAAAACAACATATCATGTTAGTAAAGGCCGATCCTTTGATCGGGCGAGCGGGGGTGCTCATTTCATGACCTTTCCCCTCGTACCCAAGTTCCCGAGCCGAGGCAACTTTGGTGATGACGAACACGTGGCCTTAGGCACAAGTTAGGGTTCCCTAAATTTCCCAAAACAAAATATTTAGGTGGCGACTCTGAAATCTGGCAAAGCAGTCCATGTTTGGCGCTTTTTGATTACAATCGATTTTCCAAAACGATTTGCCGGATTTGGACTCTTTGGTGATTTATTAGTCTTACATTGCACTTTGTGAGATTAGATTCAGAATCGTGACATGAGTTCGAACTGTAGTAGCTAAGAACTACAATCTGCGCCCTCGAGCGCGAAGCGAGTTCGGGCGGTCTACAATCATGTGCACTTCCCTCCTAACCAGGCAAGCAAAAGATGAAACACATATCAAAGTCACACACTGCCAATATGTTTTGTGTAGCGTATCCCTTTCTACCTATGAAACGGGGTAAGTATTTTGCTTCCACATCAGCTTTGATATGTGTTCCATCAATTGCCCGAATGCATTTTAAGAGAGAGAGTATTTCTAATTACCTTAAAATAAGGGTCATATTTTCGGCTATTCTTTATGTACGGATGGACCCCATTTCTCTGCCAAGGCTTCACCCAATCCACAGACATTTTCACACATGCTTTTAAAACAAAGTGGAAGTATTTTGAAATAGTTTCACTCGATAATTGAAATCTTTTTTGAACATTTCTATTGTTTGCATGTTGACCAACAATAAACAAAAAAAATAGCAACTTGTTGTTGAACCCCAACTTTTTTCCCACTTTGTACTTCATAGTTAGTCTCTAATAAATTGCACAATTGATAAAAAAAAAACATCCCTATCCATTCTAAAATTTTCATATATTCTTGTAGCATTACCATGTTGCAATTCTAACATCCATTGATGTCTTATGAGGGCAAATGTCCTACATGGTTGTTTATTTAGGTAATTTTTTGCATAAATTATTCCTGTCACTGCTGCTGTCATTAGATAGGGATTCTCATACGAATGATTTGGTTGTTGTGAAGATCTGGCGACATTGTCATCATTATCATAATCACCATCATCATTGAAATTGTTCATCTTTTTATACTGTATAGAAATTGAGGTCATGTACCACATTCATTCAATAAGAAATTAATTTAACACATAAAATAAATATAAAATTAAAGGATATATATATAAACAAAAAATAAAATTAGACAAACATCAGTAGAATACCTGCAAAGATTGAATGCCTCTGGGTTGTTTAACAATTCAGAGTGGCAAACAAGTTCACCATGAAAGTATATAGACAGTGTCATTTCAATGACCATCATTTAAAATAATATTTTTTTAAAATTGCTTTCCAATCTTGCAAGCAAATGGACAAATAATAGCTAAAACCTGTGACCTGGAATTGCAAGGACAAATAATCACATAGCACACAAGTGGGCAAATGCAACTTGCAATAATACTTCCTATTCCACCCGTGAGTGGACAAATTCAACTTACAACAATATTTCCTATTCCACTTGTGAGAGCACAAATTAAATATGCCCATGAGGCAAACATAAATACAACACCAAACACTCTTTTAATTGAAGATAGTCCTAAATCTTTTTTTTTTTTTAAATGCACAATAATCTAATCACAATAACTAGGAATGCAAGCCTTTTCCAAAGCAATTTCAAGATTAATAAACTTCAAACGCAACACATCATTAGGAAAAGTCATGAAAGACTCACGGAGTGAGGGTTTCATGAACAACAATCTTGCAGTCCAAGCTAAAAGGTCATTGTCTTCACTAACACCAGAGATTGTGCTAATCTTAGCCAAACACTCAGTTATTGTGTGCATATTTTGCATAGCAATATTTTGTGTACCAGTTGAAGATGATGCATCCACAGCATCAACAATGCGTTTAAGTGTCTTACTCAACTCACCGACAGTCGATTGTTTTTTGTTCTTTTTTTGCTTCTTTGATGGACCCTCTTTTTGGCGACGACATTGGTTGCTCAATTCAGACAGATGGATTTCCGCATCAATATCATCACCAAGTAGGGTGTGAGATCCCTCAATGTCAAGAAACACTCTAGAGCTTGGGGTGTCTGCCCATTCACCAGTTGCAGAAACATCAGAGAATAGTATGTCCATATCATCAGCCAATGTCAATGGCTTCTCACGAAATTTGGCCACATCAGGATACCTCTATAACAAAATATGGACAAATAATTACAAATATATAAATCATAAAGCTTAAGTACAAATGAGCAAGAAAAAAAATTAACATAATTCACTGACCTGTAACTTCAAATTCCACTAATCATCAGATGCCATGTTAGCTCCAGTCAAGGGATCTAACCCCAGCTCAGTATCACCTCTCAACAGATTTTTCCAAAGACCCCACTCCTTTTTTAAGGTATCCCAACGATTTTTAAGCTAAAGGCAAACATATGACTTTCCAGTTGCAATTTTGAACTTGTTAATAACTGCTTCCCAACCAACCCTATTTAAGAGCGTACCAGGTCTGTGACCTACTTTCACTTGCTCCACACAAAGTTTGACAAAAAATTCAATGGATTTTGTGTCCCAATGTGCCTTTAAACCTTGTAAGGGTTGGGAGTTTTGGGAAGCTTTTCTCTTACTCTTTGTAGTTGTTGGAGATTGTGATGGTGGTTGGGTACTCATTTTTTATTAAACAAACCATAATAATAAAAACACTTGAATTGCAACAATGGTTTGAACAAACCCTTACTATCTGTATTCTTGAGAGCATTATCTATGATCTTAAGCATCACACAAGTTCATCTAGTGATTGAGGAGTCAAAGAAAATTCTGAATATCATATGGAAAATATATATATATATATATATGCTAAGCACTCCTTCAAAGCATGAAGGTGATACTAACATGATTGGATTCAAGGGCACATGCCAATCACTTCACCTTTTTTCTGGTTTTGAGCATACATGAGCCCTCCAAATCATATACAGAGAACTAGAATTCTGGAGTACTAATTTAATTAGCACAAACAAGTCTCATTGTTCAAAAATCAATTTCAAAACATTTTAGACTTTAAGATGCTAATTGTATAACATAAATACCAAATTCACATCTCCAACATTAATAAACCAAAAATCAATGCAATGGCAGTCAACATCTTACACAAATTTTTAACATCAAAGCATGAATAAAATTTTCCTAAATTTTTTCTAAACCCTAAATATTGTTATTTTTCCCAATTTCAACAAATTTGAAATAGACAAAATCATAAATAACCAAAACAATACATATATGCTAAATCCAAAGCAAGAAAGAAGAGGAAAAATCAAAAGAGATGAAGAAAAAGAGGTGAATAGAGAGAGCGAAAGTGCAAGAGAGAAATAGAGAAGAGATCCAGAGTCCGAAAAGAACCAGAACCACACGTCACTGGAAGCAAACCAAAGCCGGAAACAAACCAGAGTGGCACGTCGCCGGAAGTGAACCAGTGCCCGAAGTAAACTAGAGTCGCACGTCTTGCTGTTGCGTTTTGCTACTTGCTGTTGCGTTCTTCTCTTTCCAGAGAGAAGATTAGAGCTAAAAAGAATATATATATATATATATGTGTGGTATAAGAGTAAATACTTCAAAACACTAAGGATATTTAAGTAATTCCAACTCTTCCTCCACATAATCTACAATCAAAAACAGCTCCCAGCTGCTTTTGATTTTCAACATTTTTCTTTTCAAAAAAAAAAAAAGCTATGGAAGCTAAAATTGTTGGCTTTAATTTTACCCAAACAATCTTTTGTAGCTTTTAAAAAGCTAGAATCAGTAATCTGCTCAAAATATACTGGAGCAAACACTGCCATTGTTATGGTAAATGCTAACTGTTGTGAAGTAATTTTGCTTCACCGCCAACCTATAATAAAAATCTTTCTTTTCTACTGGCTTATCTAAGAGTAGAAATATGGAGGCTGAAATCAAGATTTTCAACAATGACTGGCTGCAACCGTTTAAAATTTATAGCCTCAGCTGTATTTGCATTTAATGTTTTTACATTATCTAATTTATCTATAAATAGCCTATGTATCGTAGAGATCAGTGTGTAGGAGAAAGAAAATAAAAAAGAGAGAAGATTGCAGTTCATGCTCTGTTTGTTTTTCAAAATTATTTGAGTGAATTTAAATTGAGTTTGATTCAGTGTTAATCCTCTCATTGTGAATCACCATAAGTGGTTTGCACCTCACTCCCACCAACAGTGGTATCAGAGCTGAAGGTAACTTGAATTTGCAGACATTTTGCAAAATTTTCAAGAACAGAGCATCGTTTCAAATTTTGCCCAGAAATCAAAGTTGTTGAAATCAACTTTTGATCACATGAGTGTGTAGTTCTCATCAAGACGATCACACTGCAAAAAACCACACTGAAAACTGAGTTCCATAGAGACCGCACGCGTAGTCGACATCATCACCACGCGTAGTAATGCGCCCATACGCTGCCACCCGTCTTCTTCGCCCGGATTTGTACAGTCCGGCCCGTCTAACGTACGATCTGATCCATTAGTCCGGATCTGGATCTGGATCCGTATCCAGAAGCTGGCGTCATTGCTAACGTCGATCCAAGCCGAGCTACGCTACCAAGCCATTGATGTCACGCTGAGATCAGCTGATCCGGAGAAATTATCTGGTGTTTCTCAGAAGTTCTAGATTCAGCCAATCCGAACCGTCCAACTATTTTGGCTGGATCTAAGCCATCTGAAGTCCCTTTTTGGTGATCCAATAGTGCTTTCCAACTATTTAGAATATTTCGGACACATCGGTATGGTTAGAATTTGCAAATTATATTCTGAAAATTTGCAGATTTCTTAAAGTCAATCCATGGCTAACACAAACAATTTCTTTCAACCCCAGTTTCTAAAACTCAGCAAGGAGAACTATGAAAATCGGAGTATTCAAATGCAAGTCCTACTAGCCTCACAAGATTTGTGGAAGTTAGTGGATCGATGATATGACGAGCCAGCTACTCTCGAAGATGAAGAAAATTTAAATGAAGCTCAGAAGACGGCGTTAAAAGATTCAAGGAAGAGAGATAAAAAGGCCTTATATCTACTTTATCAAGGCATTGATGAGTTAAGCTTTGAGAAGATTTTAACAGCTGCAACCTCTAAAGAGGCATGGAGTATTCTTCGTAATTCACACCGTAGAATTGAAAAAATGATCAAAGTTTGACTCCAGGTTCTACGTGGTGAATTCGAGATGTTGCACATGAATGAGAATGAGTCAATTTCTGAAAACATTTACAGAACATTGACCATTGTTAATCAGATTAGAAGATATGAAGAGAAGATGGAATCTCTTCAAGAGATAAAGAAAATTCTACGATCACTCAGTCCCAAGTTCGAGCACGTGGTTGTAGCAATAGAAGAGTCCAACGATCTCAGTGCCATGACCACCAATGAGTTGATAGGCATACTTGAGATTCATGAACAAAGAATCAACAAGAAGACTCCCTCAAGTTCTCTAGAGCAAGTTCTTCAATCAAAACTGTCTTTCAGAGATGATAGAAATGAACAAGGGGGGACATCACAAAGAAGCCGAGGAAAAGGCCGTGGTTACAATAACCAAAGTTTTGGTTTTCAAGGAAGAGGCGGAAGAGGTCCAACCGAAGGAGGAAGAAGTCAACCACACTTTGCTCCAAGAGGAAGAGCAAAAGGAAAAGAAGGTTGTTACAACAACCGACTAGGATTTAACAAAAGCAATGTTCAGTGCTACCATTACCACAAGTTCGGGCATTACAACAATGAATGCCGAAGTAGAGTAACAACAGAAGCCAGAGAGCAAGTAAATTTTGTCGAGAAGGAAACAAACAAAGTCGGACCTACAGTCCTGCTTGTCCACCATGGAGATACTGAAAACCAAAACAATGTTTGGTATCTAGATTCGGGAGCCAGTAATCACATGTGTGGTAAAAAAGAGTTGTTCGTCGAGCTTGACGAGACTATACAAGCACAAGTCTCATATAGTGATTCTTCAAAGACTCCAGTGAAAGAAGAGGCAATATTCTGATCAAGCTCAAGAATGGAGATCATGATTACATCTCCAATGTTTATTATGTTTCTGCCATGAAGAACAATATTTTGAGTATGGGACAACTCCTAGAGACATGATGTGACATTAGCATAAAAGATTGCCATCTTACCATCAAAGAGAATCATGGTAATTTGATCACTTGGGTGAGAATGTCCAAGAGTCGGATGTTTGCATTGAACATCCGACATGATACTCCGAAATGTTTAAGTGCCATCATCAAAGACAAAGACTGGTTATGGCATTTGAGGTTTGGACATCTCAACTTTGGAAGCTTGAAGCTATTGTCAAGCAAGAATATAGTGAAAGGGCTTCCTTATATTGCTCATACTAATGAAGTCTGTGAAAGCTACATTCTTGGAAAGCATCACAGAACTAGCTTTGCCAAAGAAGTGAAGTGGAGAGCAACAAAGCAGCTGGAGCTAGTGCACACTGATGGGTGTGGTCCATTGAAGCCAATGTCAAATTGACAAAATAAATATTTTCTCACCTTCATTGATGATTGTAGTCGGAAGACATGGGTGTATTTTCTTAAAAGAAAGTCGGAGGTGTTTAGTATCTTCAAAGAATTCAAAGCTTTTGTAGAAAAGCAAAGCAGCTACTACATCAAGACATTGCGGTTAGATCAAGGTGAACAATATACATATGATGTTTTTAAAAGATTTTGTAAAGAGCATAGAATCAAGCATCAAACAACACTATCCTATACGGCACAGCTGAATGGTGTTGCTGAAAAGAATAATCGCACAATCTTAGATATGGCAAGGAGCATGTTGAAAGGAAAAGGATTGCCCAAGCAATTTTGGACTGAAGCCGTATCATGTGCTATGTATATATTAAATAGATGCCCAACCAAGAACCTTCACTCTATGACTCCAGGAGAGGCTTGGAGTTCACATAAGCCAAGTGTCAACCATCTCAGAATATTTCGGTGTGTTGCGTACACCAAGATTCCATAAGCAAGAAGAACCAAGCTCGATGATAAGGGAGAAAAATGTATCCTTATCGGATATGGAGACAGAACAATGGGATACAAGTTATATAATTCCATTACCAAAAAGGTGATCATGAGTAGAGATGTGGTATTTAAAGAAAAAGAAGCTTGGAACTAGAATCAAGATGAAGTTGTTAAAGATGCAGAACTCATTCTTGAAGATGAAACATCAAAAGCTCCAGTTGAAATCACAAGAGAAGTTCAAGATGAGCCACAAACTCCTCCACATAGAATACTTGCACCTAGATCGCCAGTTTCTCACAGAAGTGATGTATTATCATCATCATCATCAGATGATGATAGTTTTTTCAAACAACCAAGACTAATGAGAAATTTGCAAGAGATATATGAAGCTACAGAAGAAGAAGATTTAAATTTGTTTTGCCTACTCGCAGATAGTGATTCACTTACTTTCTCAGAAGCCATCTAAGAAGATAAATGGAAGAAAGCAATGGATGAAGAAATTCATTCCATTGAGAAAAATGACACATGGAAGCTTACCAATCAACTGGAGGGGCACAAACCCATTGGAGTGAAATGGGTATACAAGACAAAGAGGAATACACAAGGCGAAGTGCAATGCTACAAGGCAAGATTAGTGGCAAAAGGTTACAAGCAGAGAGTTGGAATTGATTATGGAGAGGTGTTTGCTCCAGCTACCCGGTTGGAGACTATCAGGCTAATGACTTTTTTGGCTGCCCAGTACAAGTGGCAAATCTATCAACTTGTTGTGAAATCTGCATTTCTTAATGGTTTTCTTGAAGAAGAAATCTATATTGAACAACCTTCGGGGTACGTTCAGAATGGGCATGAAGACAAAGTGTACAAATTGAAAAAAACACTTTATGGATTGAAGCAAGCTCCGCGTACATGGAATACTAGAATTGATCAGTATTTTCACGACAATGGTTTTGAAAAATGCCCATATGGGCACGCACTATATTTGAAGAAGGAAGCGGATGGAAGCATGTTGCTTGCTTGTGTTTATGTTGATGATCTAATTTTCACTGGAAACATTCCATCCATGTTTAAAGAATTTAAAAGAAGCATGGTCCAAGAATTTGAAATGGCAGATATTGAATTGATGGCTCATTTTCTCGGCATTGAAGTGGCACAAAGAAAAGATGGAATTTTTATTTCCCAAAGTGTATGCCAAAGAGATTCTCAAGAGATATGGAATGGAGAATTACAAATCAGTGAACACTCCTGTAGACAGTGGTGTGGAGCTTAAAAAAGGTACAAAGGCGGGTGATATGGATCCAGTTTATTTCAAGAGCTTAGTTGGAAGTCTGCGGTATCTTACTTGCACCAGGTCAAACATACTCTATAGAGTAGGACTGATTAGTAGATGTATGGAAACATTGGATCAGTCACACATTTATGCAGCAAAGAGAATTCTTCGCTACATCAAAGGTACAATCGATGATGGTTTATTCTATAAACCAACTGATAATTTTAGTCTTGTTGGCTATTCAGATAGTGACTGGGGACGTGACTTAGATGAACAAAAGAGTACTACTGGATTTGCTTTCTTTATGGAAAATACAATATTTACTTATTCGTCCAAGAAGCAAGCTATTGTGACACTATCAACTTGCGAAGCTAAGTATGTTGCAGCCAACTCAATTGTGTGTCATGCAATTTGGTTAAGAAATGTGTTGAAGCATTTAGGATTTCCACAAGAAAATCCTACTGAGATCTATGTTGATAATCGCTCAGCAATTGCATTAGCAAAGAACCCAGTTTATCATGAAAGAAGTAAGCATAGTGATACACGCTATCATTTCATCTGAGAGCATGTGAAAAATAGAGAGGTGGAGTTACTTTCTTGCAAGTCTCAAGATCAGCTTGTAGATATTTTCATGAAACCATTGAAAAATGATCTGCTCAACAGGATGAAGATAATGCTTGGGATGAAGTAGTATGGAGAATCAAGATTAAGGGGGGGATGTTGTGAAGTAATCTTGCTTCACTGCCAACCTATAATGAAAATCTTTCTTTTCCACTGGCCTAGCTAAGAGTAGAAGCATGGAGGCTGAAATCAAGATTTTCAACAAGGGCTGGCTGCAACCGTTTAAAATTTATAGCCTCAGCTGCATTTGCATTTAATGTTTTTACATTGTCTAATTTATCTATAAATAACCTATGTATCGTAGAGATCAGTGTGAGGGAGAAAGAAAATAAAAAAGAGAGAAGATTGTACTTCATGCTCTGTTTGTTTATCAAAATTATTTGAGTGAATTTAAATTGAGTTTGATTCGGTGTTAATCCTCTCATTGTGAATCACCATAAGTGGTTTGTACCTCACTTCCACCAACACTAACAAGTGCCCCTCATACATTATTTAATGTTGGGATTAGTTTAAAAAGTGCTTTGAAAATAGTAAAAAAATTAAAAAGTAAAAAATGTTATGAAATTAATAAAAAGTGTATTTGGTTCTACACTTATTTTGTCTTTTTCTTGTACCTTATGACACTTATTACCAAGATTCTATTATTGTATTAGGGTTTAGGTTTGTATATGTGAGTCATATATAATAAAATATTTTTATATCGTGTAATTATCAATATATTATGTTCTATTAATTTTGAACATAAATTAATTTTTAGACATTAAAAAAATTGAAAGATGAGGGGTTAAAATTTTAAAAAAAAAAAATTAAAAACAATTAAGAACTAAAAAAAATGTGGCAAAATAAAAATAAAAAAATTAGTGCACCAAAATGACGTGATTTTGGTTTTTATTTTTATTTTTTCTCAGAAGAAATTTTCATTGAGGCAAGTCAAAATGACTCATATAGAAGAGTCCATCCAACAAATAAAATTTACATGAAATAAAGAAAAAATATTAGAGCAAAGGAGTAAAATTATGAAAATAATCTAGACGCTCATGCTCCTACTACAAAAACAGAAGTCGATCATAAGAATTTGACAATAAAACATGTTTGAGATAAATCATAAGTTACAACCACAGAATGAGTAAATTATAATCATAACACTAATAGAGTCCAAAAAACACAACCAAAAACCAAATTAAACAAAAAATAAATAAGAGTTGGTTTGACATGTTTAAAAAAAGTTAAAAAGTCATTATCCTATTTAAGTCATATCATCTTATTTAAGTCATATCACCTCTCTAACACACCACTTCAAACTCAACCCAAACTCAAATTATATTTCATAAAATGTCAAAAAGTACACTTATTTAGATCATTTCAAACAACCCCTAATCGTGATTTTAACTATTTGCAAAATACTTTTTACATTAATATCAACAGTTAGCAATTTCTCCGCAAAGGGGTGCATTTACCTTGAAAAAAAATCATGAAAGAATTACATGACTTGCATTATAGCCTATAGGATCCTATGCATGTTATTATTGGGCTGCTGAGTATCCCCATGTGTTTTGCAGTGGCCACCATGTGCGTCCTAAATTTGCAGATTATTATTGGGCTGCCTAGTTGAACCATTTTCATTCCTATATATATGAAAAAAGAAAAATGGTTGGAAGTTATAATAAATGAGTTCTAATGAGTTTTAATATGAGTGAATTTAATATGAGTGAATTCTATTGTGATGTGATGTTTTGATTTTGATTTTATTTTTTTATTTTTTTTTATTCTCTATCACATCATTAAAGCTCAATTAGAGTTTTCAAATTAGAAGGATATATCATTACTCTATGAAAAAGTGTCCAAACTCAGAAAATATACTTTAAAAATTATTCAAAATAAGAGATTTACGCTATATTTGATTGGAAGATTTAGTGATTTGATTTCCTTTTTTTCAACGAAGCAAAAATTTGATTTCTCACGTACATATAGATCTCAAAACAAAGGGTAACACAGTCATTTAAAAATACGAAAATAAAAAACGGGACCTCTGGGTATAAAACTGAAAAAACTGTGGACCTATTGAACTATTAAAAATAAATTGGGATTAGAAGGGAAATAGATCCCCTACATAGGACTACATGGTAATTTTCC